ATAAAGTATTGAAACGGAAATTTTCTTTATCAAGTGCCCCAGACAATTTTATGGCAAAGCTAGCTCCAAAGTTTGAAGGCCCCTATGTAATTCAGGAAATCAAAGGAGTAGTCTTATATCTTAAAAACGAGAGAGGGGAAATCTGTAAAGCAAGTCCCGACCAGGTGAAAAAATACTATAATCCAAATGATTTTGAAATCCTTAAAAGTTTCTTGCAGGACTCAAGTCTAAACGAAATAGAAGGGCCAGAGACTGCAACAACTATTCCACCACCCAAGAAACGGAGAACTGAAGAGAGACCTAGCACTTCTACAACCCGGACGTCGGTATCAAAAAGAAAAAATGATTTTCAAACTCCGGCGTTTAAGAAAAACAAAAATACAGATGAACCGGGTAAAGAAACCGTGGTAAAGACGAAAAACACCACCTACAAAAGATGGCAGGAGAAATTACACATCAAGGAGAACGCGCACACGGCCACAGAGTCAGGTGCCAGCAAGGCCGCCGTTCCGGAAACTGAAACGCCAACAGGAGGCACAAAAATACGAGGAACAGAAGAAATTCAAGAAGGACTCCAGACCGGAGGACGTCAAGACCAGCCGTCCCAGGCAGAAACGCAAAAGGCCAACAACCAGACGATTACTCCGTCAAGAGGCCAGCATGTAGAGGACGCAAAAGAAAGATCAACGGGGACGACACTCGGAGATCAATAAGGAGAAGATTGACATCCATGACACCTCTAACTTGGGATCAATTTTGTCAAAAACGGATGACGGAGTTTCAAGCATCGAAAACTCAAAGATAAGTTAAAACCTTCTATAATTTTTTTTTCTCTTTTGTTCCGAAATGTTATGCATAAGTACGAAGTTCTATGTTTTGACGAAAGTCAATATGTCTCGGTTGAGACTTAGTTTTGTTTTACTTTATTTAGCTAAGGCAAAAGTATTATTTTCTTTAAGTGTAAAAGCTAAAAACAAGCATTTTCTGTTGGTCGAAAGACTAATTCTGTTATGTTAAAGCCAAAATTTGGCCGGAGATAAAAATAACTTCGTATTCTTGTACTAATAAGAATTTTAGTTTCAGTGCCGCCAGCTTGGCGAAGAATGAGTAAAGTAAAAATTTATTTTCTCTTATTCATTTTATGGTAAATTGTAAAAAGCATATGTATTAAACTTTTGTAAATGTATGTAAATACTTGCATGTTATGTAAAAGTAGAATTTAGTCTAGAAGCATAAAATTGTAGATGCTAAAAGTGAATGCTTAAAAGCAATGAAGTCAAAATTTAAGTATTAAATTGTAGATAAAGTCATGCTTTAGAGCGAAAGCCTGCATGTTTAAAGATGAATGAGGGGGAAGTTAGAATGAATGTGTTTTGTAGGGTTCTCCACCTACATTTGAATTTTTAAGAATATTAAAGTAGCTCATTGAGTTGTAGAATGTCGAGTAAGGTGTGTCTATTTGGTTGTTGAATTCTAACAAATCATGGTGGTTAGGGGAAGTGTTGTAAGACTAAAACACGAATATTCCCGTTTGACACCACACACGGTGGAGAGCCAGGGTAAAGTTAAATTAATGCTTGAAAAATTGAATGAATGTGAAGTAAGCAATAACTAAGAAAAACGAATCGTTAAAAACAAAAATTTATTGTGTCAAGAAAGTGTAAATTATAATGTATGTAGAAAGATACTGATACTTATTCCTTCCAGATGCTGGAAGGAAAGACCAAGATTGATTGATGAAGTCCAGGAAAAGTTGCTGTAAGAAGAAAGCTTTGTAACGAGCAAAAGAATTTTAGTATATAATTGTTACATAAGATTTTTTTTGTGTAAACGAGGCTTTCGCCAGTTAGTTCAGAATTAGATAAACTTACAACAGGTCGTTTGTAGGACCTGCTTCCAAGTTTTCCAAATTCTGGCAGCGGCAAATGTAGGGTTTATATTTATTTTAACTAACATTTATTTTAAGTTTAAACTATCTTTCCTGTCAAGCCTTACTTTCCCCTGGAACTGCCAATGCCAGAATATGTAAATTTGAGTAGAACGCGCAAGCATTCAAATTATCAGCGGAAGTAGTATGATTTAAATAGAAGGAAACAAGTTCAGTTAGAGTTATTCTTACTTAGCGAGCGCGGAGGTAGTTATAGAGATTTGAAGAACCCCGCGTTGCGGCCTATGTGCTTGGCGGGAAGTAGTTGCAATTGTTCCAGTGAGCTTCAAGTCTGCTGAATTAGCAGCGGTATTGTAAAACGCGGTGAGTTAGTTATTTTAGAGAGCCTCGTAGTTAGAATATTGTCTTTACTTTCTTTTCAGGTTCTTATTTTTATTTTAACTGCCGAGTTGGCACCGTTTGTAAGCGTCAAGAGAACGCAATTGTAATTCATTACGTTGAATAAAAAGGGACTTAAACCCTTTACAAGACTCTGTGGTTTATACAAGCTTTCACAGTCACCCTTGGTTGCGTGCAAGTTGTAGGCGCGCAACGTTATAAGCTCTTATTTGAAAGTACGTGGAATTAAATCCACAGCCCCGTAGTCAATTTGTTTTTCCCGCCTTTTTCTACACGTACAGTTATAGAATGTTCTGGAGATATTTAAAGCGAACTGGAATGGCTGACGAGGCTGCTGTCATTTCTTGGAAGCTCCGCCTTTCCAGAGGCTATAAAAGGACTCGCAAAGGAATATCGGGGTCTTTTTCTTTAATGTAACGATGCAGTAAACTTCATACAAAATGTTATTAGTAGTTCTTTTTATTTACTCCGGAGTTTTGATTTTTGTAACTGCTATTTCTCCTGAACAATAATAAATGGATCCTGTTTTTTAAACTTATCGTCTCATAATTTAAGCTACGACTACATCTATGATTCTTCACCAGTCTATTTATTCCGGACAAAAGCTGGTACATCACGTATATATGTTTATATATTTACGTTTGGTAGTATTGCCGATTGCAATAAAAACGAGAAGTGCACATCTAGATGTTATAGCGGTTCTATATACAAAATTTCAACGTTCTCAACTAATTACTTTTGAGCTATGCGAAATGCATACATACGTACGTACACGTCACGAAAAAAATCCCTTTTATGTATCCACTTAGAGTCATATCCCTTTAATCCCTTTTAACAATCCGTTTTTTGGAAAAAAAAAAAAAAAAAAAAAAAAAAAGAGTTCTTCATTGTGTCCGTACGTGCAGACATCACCCCAAAAAATAATCCACATGGATTCCGTAATGGTCAAAAATTGATATTTCCGTTGAAATATGAAACCCAATATTTATGGCAATTACAATACTTACTTCCCTTATATTTTGTACAACGAAGTAAAGAACCTATATTAACCTACATATTCTTATATAAACAATACCTAAGTGCAGTATATATATTTGAAATCAACAAAATCTCACTATGCACGCTCAAGAAAAAATCAATACTCATCTAAATTAACTAAATTTTCAATTTACAAGCATAATATGCACTATAAATATTAATGTAAACCAAAGCAAATACAAAATAACGCTTCACGTTGCCAAAATTGCCCATCTTCTTAAATACCTGCTAACAATACCTGTGCTCTGTGAAGCAAAGGTATTGTTAGCAACTCCATCACTCGAATAAAACGCATGGTACGAAAAAAGCGAGTAACGAAATTAATTTGTGAGTACCGAATCGGTACTTCGAGTCAACCGATGTATCCGTTACTCGGTAACGAATACGTGAGGTTTGCTCCTGAATTTAGCAACAGGCGTCTCAGTCCAGAAGAGGAAAATGCGCAATCTAAAGCTGATTGGTTATTATAGGTCACGTGGTTTTCTTTCCTTTGGACGTCGGGCATTAACACTAGGGCTTAGCTGTGTAAGTTTACCACTTTTGGCGAAAATTTAACATTTAGAATCGCCAAAATAAAAATGCCATATCATAGTTGTTAGTTGCATCGTTTATAATGGACTACTAAAATATCTCATTAGTAAATATTAAAAGGAGCAACAATTTGCTTAAAAATTTACATTGAGGTTCAGAAGTCGTGTCAGTTTTTTCAAAGTGAGCCAGAGTCAAGCCCAACTGTTAATACAACATTTTGTTTATTTAACATTGCTTATATTATATTGTAGTTTATGTTCACATTGTAGTTCATATGTTTGCAATGTGCTATTTATCACTTTAGTAGATGAATATATTTCAAAGACTAAAATCATATTTTGATGTTCAAAGGAAAGATATGATCCCATTAAAATGGAATATATTAAGCATTTTCTAACGTATGGAATTATTTGCACGCATTTTCTCCGATCATAACTAAAGAATTATAAAACAAAATTAAGAATCGAAATGTGAATAGGTATACCAAACAGTATATTTCAAGTAATCTATTACACAGGAATTAAAAAGAAATTGATTTCAAATCACTGTTTTGGGTTTGTATTATAATAAATAAATAAGTTTCAATGACAGGAATGTTATGATAGTGCCATTGTGAATGAAAGTATATTTCTGCAATGCAATATTTTTGCAACTGATGTCAAAATTGAAATTGCTATATTTTATAACTGCAAACTGGTTTAATAGTTATAAGTGTATCTACTTATAATTTCCATCAGCATATTATTTATGTTATTGATAATTTGTCAGTATGTTTTCTCGTGTAAAGGAATTAAATGTTAACATATTGTTTATTTTAAAGATACAACTTTTTTGCTGTTTCTTTTAATCCATTTCACTTTTAACTTAATAAATAATGTGGGGCATTTCAATATATATTCTTTAACAAGATATTTTGGTACTGTTCTGTTATCGGGACGATATTCAGAAACGTATATATACGTAATTTTTTTTTTTTTTTTTTTTTTTTTTTTTTTTTTTTTTAAACCTCCGATCGCATAGCATGATGGCCAGAAGCGGCAGGTGGTTGGTGTACGTAGTAGGCGACTGCGCATCTTCCCCTCCACACGCTCTGTCACTGGTGTATTCAACACACCATTTTCTGTTGAGTTGTAATCACGTAAACATGGCTGTCGCTATTGATTCTTCCGCCAAGTGTGAATTGCCAGCTGTTATTCGTTTCTTGCAGGCAGAAGGGAATAGTGCAGCGGAAATTCATCGAAGAATGAGTCGAGTGTATGGAAACAGCTTTATGAGTGATGGCGTTGTTCGTGAATGGTGTCGAAACTTTAAAGATGGCCGAACTGATGTGCATGATGAAGGTGGTCAAGGACGCAAGTCTGTCGTTACAGACGACATTGTTCAACGAGTTGACCAAGCGGTTAAACAAAATCGAAGGTTCACCATAAGTAAATTATCGATGAAATTTCCGGAAGTTTCAAGATCTTCCCTGTTCTCTATCGTTACTGAACAGTTGCGCTACAGAAAAGTTTGCGCTTGCTGGGTCCCACAGATGTTGACTGACGACCGCAAAACTCGCCGAATGGTTGCAGCGTTTGAGTTTCTTGACCGTTACGATAGTGACGGAGAAGAGTTTTTGAAATCCATTGTGACAGATGATGAGACATGGGTTCAATATGACACGCCCGAAACGAAACGACAATCACAACTATGGATGCACACAAATTCTCCAAAGAGACCCACAAAATTCAAACGAACCTTTAACAACCGTAAGTTTATGGCAAGTGTTTTTTGGGACCAAAAAGGTGTGTTGCTTGTAGAGTTTATGCAGCTTGGAACAACAATTAATGCAGATTCATATTATGAAACTTTGCGACGCTTACGGAGAGCTATTCAAACAAACGAAAAGGCATGCTGACTTCTGGAATTGTTCTGATCCACGACAATGCCCGTCCTCACAGCGCTCGTGTAACCCAACGGCTCCTTCAGCAATTTCAATGGGACATTTTCGAACATCCACCATATAGTCCCGACCTAGCGCCGAGTGACTTTCATCTGTTCCCTGAACTGAAGCAGTGGCTTGGCGGGAAGCGCTTCCAGAATGACGTGGAGGTGAAAGAAACCGTCACAACGCACTTCCAATTATTGGCGGGGACATTTTATGAAGAGGGTATTGCAAAGCTTGTTCACAGATATGACAAATGCCTCAATCGTCAAGGTGATTATGTAGAGAAATAACCTGTATTGTACATTACCTTTGGTAATAAAATCTTTTTTGTATATTCACCCGTCTTTTCTTATAGCCCATCGGAGGTTGAAAAAAAAATAGCCCTCGTATATATATATGCATGTGTACATATATGTATGCATACACACAACTTGTTTTCGCACTAAATGATTTTAAGATTATACAACATTATATATATATACATATGCATATATTTCTGTACATACAAACAATCCTCATAACAGAAGAGTATCGATATTTCTAGCAGCCGCTTTCTCAATTTTGCACGAGGTTATCCTGGTAATGAAATCTCAATTTCATATTTGTTTAACTACCTTTCTTCTGTAATTTAAGGTAGTTTCATACGTTGTATAAAAATTAAAGCAGTTCTATAGGGTGTGTGTGTGCGTGATTATGGCAAAGCCTCGAGAGCTATCTGTCTAAGGGGAGGGATGCCTTCGTGGAGGACTTTCTAAGGGAAACTGGCTCGTATACACGTTACACATGGGGAAAGCCACGAGAACGCCCATGCAGCCAGCCCGTTCGTGGGATTCGAACCTCGGACCGAACTACCAGTGTTCAGCGACTTACCGCTCGGCCACTGGTGAGCCAGGTCTATAGAGTGTTCGTAAAATAGTTCTTCATGACCACCTGTGATTTTCTTAATACTGCTGGAGTTAAGTGAATTCATTTTATTCCTGAGTACTTTTATTTACATTCCACAATAAAATATGAGCATATAAAAAGTGTGGTTTCATTTTGGTATGAATGCAACTTCAGTACTTTGTTTAAATTTCTCAAAACCTCCCCGAGTCGATAGGTGTTTTTCAAAAATTTTAATACCATAAATACATAAATAAACACATATGCATTATTTCATTTAGCCTGTTTATATTATAGACTTTTAAAAATTTAATAGCTTATTCATATTCAGTTCTTGGTTTTCATTTTTAATCTAACTGATATGCAGTTTGAAGTTTGCTCACATGGTATCAAGCTTGTAACAAATTGGTTAAATGTGGTATTTTATGTGTATTTTCAGGAAAAGCAGCTACAGGTTTTATGATCTTAAATACTTTTCACAGTTGTATATCTTTAAATTACAATGTTTTTAAAATGTAGGGTTATGAAAACTATTTCAGTGCTTGGATGGTTATGGTATTTTATATTAAGAACTAGTCAACTTTTTATATAAACCAACAGATTTTTACATCTAAGATAAATATGAATTTTGTGCTCTCTAAATTTTTTATCGCTTAATATTCGAATTTGGCATCTTCGCTTATTTGTTATCTGATGCAAGCTTTTTACTTCTTTCACACTGTCAGGCAATAACGGCGGAGACGGCTTCACTGCAACGCACCAGAGTACAGCTTCCAACTCTGCTTGGTCGTTCTCGGAACTCCACGTACTCTCAAGGCTCTCCACGCGATGCACTGGAGGATACACAAGAGTATAGCTCTCGACTCAGCACCATCTAAGACAAAACTCGACGATGCACTAATTCGCGATGCACTAAAAGACTCTCTCGATGTACTCGACGACCAACTCGGCGCTAGACTTCGAGACACTCGCACAATGACTGACTATCAGGTCGCTAGAGGAGGCACACACACTAACTGACTGCGGACCAGCAGGGTTTATATAGCTTTCTGCTTGTATTCGAGAACATTCTGGGCTAAATCGGTAAGAATTCGTTCCAGAAGGTTCTCCCTACGTCCATGGTATATTGCCAAATTGTCGCCAAAGGTCGCCAGATGGGCAATTTCTCGCCAAATGTGGCAATACTGCGTTCCCTTTCCATTTTATGGCAACCCTAAAACTGCTTTCCGGGGAAGCCCTCTTACCGCGCCTGCACATTTCGTAACGCTGCCCCCCTCCCAAGCACTGCACGTCCCGGGCAGTACAATCCTTGGTCAGAAGCATAATTTTATACAAACATAAGGCAATAAAACAAACAAATAACATAACTAAAGAAACAAACATTTACACTACTTACAAACTTTACACAGAAACTAGGTAAGAAAACTCATGCACAAGAATTATGGGTACCCCTAAAGAATGAGAAGCACTAAGTACTATGGCCATAGTATGGGGCTAGTCTGTCATAATGAACGACCTTGGGTTTTGAATTGGGGGATTTACGGATTCGTATCACAACGTCGTTCAATCTGTTGAGAACTGTATAGGGACCCTCCCAATGCGACTGCAGTTTGGGAGAAACGCCCTTACAACGACTTGGATTCCACAGCCAAACCTTGTCGTTTTCCTGGAACTGATGTTCGGTGGCTCTTGCGTCGTATCTCTTCTTCATCCTGTCCGTCGAGATGTTGATCCGCTCTCGAGCAAACCTTTGTACTGTTTCCAACCGGGCCTGGAGGTCTTGCACGTACTCCTCAGGTGAGGAATGTACATCCGGAGGGCCGAAGAGCAGGTCACTTGGCAGACGGAGATCGCGACCGGAGAGCATCTGTGATGGAGAATAGCTGGTGCTTTCGTGGACGGCACTACGGTAAGCAAGCAGGAACAGGGGCAATTTGCGATCCCAGTCTTCTTGGTTTTTGGAAACCATGAGCGAGAGGTGGTTAAGGATTGTACGGATAAACCTCTTCCTTCACCATGCCATCAGACTGCGGATGTAACGGGGACGTCTGCGTTTTCCTGATTTCCAACAAGTCGCAGAGTCCCTTGAACACAGCCAAAGTAAAGTTTCTGCCTTGGTCGGAATGAATCTGAAGGGGGGTCCCAAATCTGGACACCCAATTCTGTAACAGAACTTCAGCTGTCGTGACAGCCTCTTGATCTGGAACTGGGTAGGCTTCGGGCCACTTCGTAAAGTAATCCATGACAACGAGGATGTATTTGTTGCCATCCGTTGTCCGAGGAAAAGGTCCAAGTACGTCGAGGGCAATTCGCTCGAAAGGCGCTCCTACATTGTATCGCTGCAGCCTTCCTCGACTATGTCCCTTCGGTCCTTTCCTGGCTGCGCAACCATCACAAGATCGGCACCACTTCTCAACATCGTTTCTCGCCGAACTGCAGAAGAAGCGCTCTCGGACCTTGTTTAGTGTCTTCATACAGCCGAAATGCCCTCCTGTTGAGCTGCTGTGTATTTCCTTCAGAACATCAGATATTCGGTTTCGAGGAAGCAGCAGCTGCCATCTCTTCTTAGTTCCATCGTCACTTTCCCATAGTCGATATAAGACTCCATTTCGGAAGTGGAGTGAATCCCAGAGAGTCCAGTACCTCTTAGTTGCAGGACTGGAAATAGAAATGTCCTGCCACTTGGGTTTTGTACTGGATGATTCCAGTTCTATTATTGGCCTAATGTCAGGATCCGCTGATTGGTCTTCTCTAACGTTTTCATCATTCCACGTATCTGGATCAGTTGATGTTGAAGATGTTACTTGCCGGATACTCGGATTCACCAACCCGTACTTAGCCTCGGCTCTTGAACAATGGCTGCAGTGTGCAGGACAAGGCTTCCTGGATAAAGCATCTGCATTTCCGTGAGAGGAGCCTTTACGATGTTTTATCTCAAAGTCATATTCCTACAGTCTTTGAATGCGTATGGCTATTTGTCCTCCGGGATTTTTGAAATTCAGTAGCCAGGTTAGAGAAGCATGGTCGGTCCGCAATAAGAATTATTTGTCATAGAGATAATGATGGAAATGTTCTATGGCCTTTACAATAGCAAGCAATTCTTTACGGGTGACGCAATAATTCCTTTCCGGTTTGGACAAGCATATACTCCAATAAGCTATTACTCGCTCTTGACCATTAAGCATTTGAGAAAGAACAGCTCCCACACTTTCGTTGCTGGCATCTGTGTCTAATATAAACTGTTTGTCGGTCTGAGGATACGCGAGCACAGGCGTACATGTTAATGCCGCCTTCAACTGATTAAATGACTTCTCGCACTCCTCAGTCTACACGAATTTTTGTTTACTTTCTGTTAATTTATGCAGAGGCCTTGCGATGTTGGAGAACCCCTTCACGAATCTTCTGTAATAAGTACAGAATCCCAGGAAGCTCCGTAGTTTGTGAATATCCACAGGACGTTCCCAGTCCTTAACTGCCGACACCTTTTCTGGATCTTTGGGGACACCTTCGGCAGAGATGACGTGCCCGAGATAGGTAACTTCACTGCGGAACAACTTGTATTTCGAAGGACTCAGTTTAAGGTTGGCATCTCTCAATTTCTGGAACACCTTCCTGATATTTTCTAGATGTTCCTCGAAAGTACGGCCCACTATAATGATGTCGTCTAGGTAGACCAGAGAGGATTTGTAAGATCGACCACGAAGCACTGTCTCCATCAGGCGTTCAAATGTTGCAGGGGCGTTACAGAGTCCAAAAGGCATAACTTTAAAGTCCTTGACCGGAGTCCTTGACCGGTAGTGAACGCAGTTTTCTCTCTATCATCGGGATGAATTTCCACATGCCAGTATCCACTCTTGAGGTCCACGGTGGAAAACCAGTTATGTCCTGATAGGGTGTATAGAGTATCGTCAATCTTGGGAAGAGGGTAACTGTCTTTCTTAGTGACATTATTTAGTCTCCGTTAGTCGACACAAAATCTTGTCGAGCCGTCTTTCTTCCGGACGAGAACTATAGGAGATGCCTATGGACTTGTGGATGGTTCGATAATATCATTTTCTTGCATCTCCTTCAGAAGATTTCCAACCTATTCCTCTTTTGCGAATGGTAAACGTCTGGGATGCTGCTTTATCGGAGAGTGATCAATTCGATGTTGCGTCAGTTTTGTGAGGCCAACATATCTGAATGACCTAGAAAATAGATCTTCAAATTCTTTAATTGTTTTTTCTGCCACACGTCTTTGTTCATGGGGTAAAATAGCACTCTGCAGAAGTTCTTCCGTTAATTTCCTAGTTGCCTCAGTCGGAAATTCAAGTGGGGTTTTATAAACACAAGTAACTGGAGTGCATGATGCTCACTTCACCCCTTTGGATGTTTCTCGGTCTGTGGCTAACATTCGCCATTCTCACAGAGATGAAATCTTTCGAAAGGGCTACTAATGAGGAGGCCACTAACACCTCTCTTAATCTATTTTCAGGGTATTCAATTAGTCCAAATCTGAAGCTATTCTTTTCTATGGATCCGGCTAATAATAATTCTGTCATCGGAGAGATGGTGACATCTGTTTTTGTTGTTACTTTCTGAGCTTAGGCAATGCCGCTCTTCATTTCAAACACAGTTATATCTTCTTTTGCAGAGCGCATTTCGTTACGTCCGCAAAAAGTCCAGTCCGAGTATTAATTCGTCCGTGATGTTAGCGACGAAAGCTAAGTGCTGGTAGGTCTCATTTCCGAAGGTAATGGTGATGTTAATTTTATCTTCAATGCGAATCTTATCACCTGTCACTGTTTGTAAAGTCACACAGGGCGGAGTCCAGCGCAACGTTTCGCTCAATTCTCGAGCTACATCTGTTCTCACGATGGTTACATTTGCTCCTGTATCTATGATCATCTTACAAGGATGCTTATTCACGTATCCTTCGACGAACAGTCCGTTATCTCCACAGCTCATTGAAGAGATTTAAAGATCTTTCAGAGGGGCTGCATCTTTGCCTGGCAACCTCCGCCCCGTGAGATTTCCGCATTTTAGTTTCCCTGGTTTTGTTTCGCGGGAGCTTTCTTCCAGTCTTGATTGTCGTGACAGTTCCTGCTGAGATGTCCTTCCAATCCGCAGTTCCAGCACTTCACGATTTTCTTCCCAGTATTTTTTATTAGGTTTTCTTAACGCCTCCCGAAATTCTCTTATTTCTTTTTTTAGTTTCGAGATATCAAAATTTGGACCTTCTATTTGAGCCGCTCTAATAGGATGGCGATCTCTTCGAGTCGCTTGTTGAGCCGACTCGAACTTCATAGCGTAAATCAAGGCAGATTTCAGGTCTTTCAGATTCGCCAATCTGAGAGCTTTCTGAATTTCTGCATCCTTAACGGCATCGATGAAATGCATCAAGGCCAGATTTTCTCGGACATCAGGTGAACAGTCCGGATATGCTTGATGCGCCAACCTCTCGATCTCAGTCGCCAGTTCTTGAAGGCTTTCCGTGATTTTCTGCTGGCGAGATTTCAACTGTAGAAGGCTAAAGCCCTTTGCGCTTTTTTCCCCGAATCTCATTTCCAGCGCATTCGAGAGGGCGTTGAAGTTTAAAATCTGGTCTTCGGAGGAAACCCCTAAGATGTCTGCAGCATCTCCTCGGAGTGACGCAGTCAACTGCGAAGCCTTTATGTGGGAGTCCCACTTGTTATTTTCCGCCACGATGGAAAACTGGGTCTTATATACACTCCATGATGATTTTCCATCGTATGTGCTTGGTTTGATTACCGTATGAGAGTACATTGGGGGAACCTTGAAATCTTCAGCTTCGTTCTTGGGCCCAGTCCGGTTTTCTTTCGAAACATCTACTTCTTTCCGGAATTTTCTCAATTTTTCTTCAAATCGTTCCTCCACAGCTGCTATTTTCGCTCCAGTATTCTCTCTAAGCTCCCCGATCTCACTTTTATCTTTTCTTGTTCCACTTCCATCTGTTCGAATTTTTCTTGCATCTTTTCTGGAATGGCTTTTATTTCGCTCTTGATCTCAGCCTTTATTTCCTCTCTTCCGGCTTTCATCTCTTCCTGTCTCGCTTTCATCTCTTCCTGTCCGGCTTTCATCTCTTTCTTGTCCGGCTTTCATCCCTTTCATTTCGGCTTTCATCTCTTTCTGTCCGGCTTTCATCTCTTCCTGTCCGGCTTTTATCTCGGCTAAAAAGTCTTCGTTTCCTCCGCCATGGCTTTCCTCTGCAGGCGGGTCACTGGCATTAACCCGCAAACCCCACTTCTGACACCAGTTGTTGCGTTTTTCTTCTCTGACACCAGTTGTTACGTGATGAAATTATTTACGAGTTGTTACCTTTTTGTTTTATTCGTGATGAAATTGCTGGAGTAATTCGACGTCTTAGAGACAAAGCTGCACCTGAAATTGACGGCATTCATTCTGTGATTGTTAAAATTTTATTTGATTTATATCCTGATTTTTTAATACTTTTGTATAATGCATGTTTAAAATATGCCATATTTCCAAGGCACATGGAAGATAAGTAAAATCATATTGATTCCTAAGATCGAAGGAAATCAAGCCAATTGCTTTATTAAAGATATTTGGTAAAGGTTCTTGATAAATTAGATAACTAATAGGATGATGCATTATATTTTTAAATATAATCCTTTCCATGATAGTCAGTATGGTTTTGTTATGTTAGTCAGTATGGTCGAAGTACCGATGATGCTCTTTTTCGAGTTATCTCATATATTAGAGAACACCAGTGCACGTTCTTACCGCTTGTCTCTTCTGGGACATCGCTTCTGCATTTGATAACGTGGATTGGACCTCTTTATTGGGGACTCTTCAAGATTTGTATATACCCAGAAATATTTTTTATTTGATTTTGGATTATTTAAAAGAGTAGAAGAGTGTATTTTAATTGCTTTTCGGAAAGTAAATATGGGTCCACTTTTAAAATTGGTAAAGGCTGCCCGCAGGGTTCCAGTGCAGCGCTCCTTT